TAGCACTGGCCGTCCCTATTTCCAGTGGAGAAATGTTGGAGGGTATGTAAATCCCTTATAGTCCCTCTGTCTATCTTCTGAGCACCAGTTGCTGGAAACCACAGGAGGAAAGTGGGCTCTTGTGCTCAGGTCCAGCTTGGCGGTTTCCCACTGGCATCTGGGCGGCCATTATGCCAACAGGATGTTGGATACGATGGTCCTGCAGGGTCTTCTTAGGTTCTTACCTGACTCCTTTGCTATTTGGGATGTTTTAGATTTGCTAAGTTACCTATATCTTAACAAGGCATTTTGGGCATTGGGGTGGAGCAGGCAATGAGCTTTTGGCTCAGCCAAAAGAGGATTTTCAGGCTCTGTCAATCAGCTGTCATCCTTGGTTGTCAGGCTCCCCTGTAAGTGCAGGAAGCCAGGGATACTGTCTGCTATAGACAGCAGTATGTTATGTGTGTATAAAAGTGTCAACTGACACCAGGTGATTAGCGGGAGAGTGGTTCTGCCCATCTGTCAACTTGGCCCTGGAGATGCTTGAGATTGAACCCGGGACTTTCAAGGCATGAGCTCTGCCACTGAGCAACAACCCCTCTCACGATGGCTTAGTTGCTTGGAGCATGGTGCCGGTAACTCCAAGGTTGCAGGTTTGATCCTCATTTGGGACAGCTGCATATTCCTGCATTGCAGGGGGTTTGACTAGACTTCCAACTATACAATTCTATGATTCTGTTATTCTTTTGGGCTTTAACTGAAGCACAGAAAGCCAGGAAGTGTCTCAGACTGGTGTACATCATTATTTTGTTCAAGAAAAATTCTGTTTTTTAAAAAAACAACCCATGCTGATTTCTTTAAAAGGCTTCACTTAAAAACAACAATAAACAGCTGTCAGTAGCATTGGTAGAAAGTCTCCCTCGCCTCCTGTACTTACAAGGAAGCCCAGCTGACGGTGTCAGGTGGTTTTCAAGAAACACAAGCGCCCAGTGAAGCTACAGAGTGTAGACCCCTGGAAAGAGGATTTGCAGTATGGTAAAAAAAGGGACGTTCACAAACCTCTCCTCCATTTCAAAAATAAGGTTACCACAACAAAAAGGCTCTCATCGTACCCTGCACATGAGAATTTGACCCAATTTCCCCCCTCCTCTTTGATAATTTTTGAATGCAATTTCTTTTCTCGCTAATGGATGGGGAATGATAGCAGGGGAATGTGGAAGGAAATTTGCAGCACTGCTCCAATTGCAAAAAACGAGAGCTGGTCCACCCCTAGGGAATGGCATGGCACCGTGGCTTAAAGCTGGAGTAAGAAGAAGAAGATCCAATATTCGTTGATTTATTTGCCCACTGTTTATAGAACTTTTACCACCATTTAAGGGTGGTTTACAAAGTGGTTAACAGCATAAAATCATACGCTAGTAATCAAACAAACAAGAATCAGCTTGCACACCTAGAGCAGACAGACTGAAATGGGAGATAAGATGTAAATGCAGGTGGAGAGAAGACTAGAATCTTGAGAGTGGATGATGGGAATGCAATATTGCCAATGCAGATCATTTCTTCCCTTTTCATTTTTCCTAGTCTTGTTCTCCCCCCCCCCCTTCTCTCATGTTTGCCTTTATTGCGATTATTGCCAGCACTTGACCTGGATCGTGTTAACACGATGCTCTTGGCCTGCCCATTGCCTGGGGTGAATGTCCTATAGGAGAGATGAGTCCGTCCCTAGTGATGAAAGCCATGCTTTTGTTTTATTACTTATAGATTAGGAAAATGTTTTGTGGCTGGGAGCCAGAATTCCTGGGTAATGTTCCAAATGCACTCAGCGCTTGGGAATGAGAGGCAGTATCGGGTATCAAATTTGTGGGCGTGCCTGGTGCGGTGATTAGCAGTTGCAACACTGGAGGATAAGGCGTGAATTATTCTTAATTCAGATCAAGGCTGGTTTGTGCAGGGGAAATGCGTCCAACGCAGCTTTTCATAAGAAAGGACAGGATGGATCTAGATGGTGGCTAATGGCTTCCAAAACCAGCCATGGCAGTAGATGCATAGTTGCTGGAAACTGCAAGAATACTCTTGTGCTTTTATCCTACTTGTGGGTTTCCCACAGGCACCTGGTTGGCCACTGTGAGAACAGGATGTTGAATTAGATGGGCGATTGGCCTGATCCAGCAGACACTTATTGAGTCAATTTCCATAAATGTATCCTGCGGAATGTCTCCAGTCACTGCACTGTAAAGCAGTGCTCCTTGCGCAGGTGCAAAATTGGCATCCAACACCTCTACTGTGCTTGCAAGTGTGCTACAAATGCAGGCTTGCGCTCGTACAATACATTTGTATGTACAGTGGTACCTCGGGTTACATACACTTGAGGTAACATACGCTTCAGGTTACATACGCTTCAGGTCACAGACTCCGCTAACCCAGAAATAGTACCTCGGGTTAAGAACTTTGCTTCAGGATGAGAACAGAAATCGTGCTCCGGCAGTGTGGCGGCAGCAGGAGGCCCCATTAGCTAAAGTGGTGCTTCAGGTTAAGAACAGTTTCAGGATAAGGACAGACCTCCAGAACGAATTAAGTTCTTAACTCGAGGTACCACTGTACTATATACACTAACGGAGCAAATGTCTCAGATAACTCCCACTGCCTCTTCTCACTTTGCATTATCCGAGGCTGCGTACACATTGCCATTTACTCTGGCTCCGGCGCACTCCCACTGCTGGCTTTTGAATTTGTAAACACACATTACCCATGACGCAGAGATACCTTGTGGTTTCTCGACAAATCCTGCCATTCGATGCATTTCTCCTCAAACCAGCCTCAGCCCAAAAAGGAAAACGTGCCTTAAGGCACATTTACTTCGAAGTTAAACGGTGGTGTGTACGTTTGAGCCATTGCACGTGGGCAGACGAAAGCTTCATCAATAGGGGTAGCTGGGGTTACAGCGGTGGGAAAACCAAAAGGATGATGTGCATTGGAAAAAGCCTCTCTCTCTCTCTGGTGTGTACAGCAATGTGCAATTGCAACTTGAAATGGAGCGGGGCCAAATGATCTTGCTGCGTTTAAAGCCACTGATGTGCATGTCCACATTTGGACAAAAGGGTAAAATGTGGGTGAGCATAGATCACAATCAACCAGCTATACTCTAACACTATTGGAATCTTTCCCACCTACCCGCCCAATTGCAACTAGGTTCTCATGAGCTCTTAGGTTACTCCAACTTAGCAAACCCAGAATGCACCCACTCCCCTTTTGTTCCAATAATTTGTTTGCTGCCGGGTGTGACACAGGAAGTGGAGGAGGGATGAGCAACATGCAGCCCTCCAGATTAGGGCTCCCCCCCCCCACAGCTGGAACTCACCCAAACTCAGTTCTGGCACCTCTCAGGTGGGTGCCATTGCCATGAAAAGAGAAGAAGGGAGGCGTTCATGGAGAGTTCCATTACTTCTTTTATCTAGAAAAAATTGCACGGCTCCAGATATTCCTGGAATACAACTCCCATCATCCCTGACCATCAGCTATATATGCTGGCTGGGACTGATGGGAATTGGGAGTTCAACCACGTTTGGAGGAGGGGCACAGATCTGCGATGAAGGAGCTAGGCATCCTGATTCCTCTTTAATGGAAAGCATGGTGCCCTTGTTCCAGAGAGATTTGCTCATGTCAACATTCCCACAGAAGGGCCCACCCCACCCCTTTCCCAGTTGCCCCTCCCTGACACACACAGAGCGTGTGAACTGAAAGCAAGCGTCCTCAATAAGCCTTTGTTTGCTTTGGTTGTTGTGAGCGGCAGTCTGTGTTCTCCACACCCCTAGACTTTTATGCCACCCACGGGTTATGGTACCCAGCCTACTCCTCCCATCTTAGCAAACTGCTTTCCTGCCTTCCCTCCTTGTGCTTCCAAGAATCTCGTCATCCATCAGAGGCACAAGCTGAAACTGATTTTAAAGATCCTCGTGACTTGCCGTGGAAAGAATGATTCTCCAATGTGAGCCTGGTAATTAAGGTGCTTGACAGCATTCCTGAGTGCCTTCCTTTCAGCTCCATTAAGATGTAAAAAACGAGGGCTGTCATTCAGTTAAACTGATTTTATGTTGAGTTAATTTTACTGCATCCCGATTGCTGAACTGAGGGGCAGCCTAGACTTCTTTAAAATTTTAAAAGCCAAACAGAAACAAAAAACAGCAGTGCCTGGTGGGCCTGATTGGATGGAAGGCAGGGAGGTCAACAATAAGGGGAGCCAGAGCCAATGACAGGCAAGTCTTGTCCCAGTCTTTCTCCCTTCTGAGTTTACAAGGGCAACACTAACTTAGGAGGAGGAAACTGATGGTTGTAAGTAAGAAGGCTGTCAAATGGGATCTGGCACACAGACAGTGGTGGAGCAATAATATACCCTTTTGTCGTAATGGACCAGCTACCACTGTAAACAAGTGCACCTTTTAAAAAAGCAAAAGCAAGCAATCGTTTAACTGACCCAATTAAATCTGCATAATATTTGCACACATGAGTGAAACAAATTCTGGGAGCTGCTGTTAAGGGTGCTGAGAGTTATTAGAAAAACCCCTACAGTATTTCCCTCGCAGAGCTACCATCTCTAGAGTTCCCACGTGAAGAGAGATTTATTGTTAAACCGCTCGGGGAACCCGTGAGGGTAAGGGAGCGTCTCGGCTCCCTTAACAAACTACAGCTCCCAGAATTCTTTGGGGGAAGCCACGACTGCTTAAAGTGGTATCACAGTGCTTTAAATGTTTGGTGCAAAGGCAGAGATCCTTGGTCCACCTAGCTTCCCATTGCTGTATCCTCTAATACAGCGGTGGCCAACTCCCAAGAGTCTGTGATCTACTCACAGAGTTAAAAACTGGCAGTGATCCAGTGATCTACCCCCTTTTTTGGGGTTCAGGTCAAAATTGTTTAGCTTTTTAGCCCTTTTTTGGGGGGGTGTGCTCCAGTGGTTTTTTTAGGGAAGCCAAAGTTGTTTCCCTTCTTTGGGGGGAGCCAGTGAACTACCAGTGATCTACCACAGACGTCCAGATCTCGATCTACCTGTTGAACGTGCCTGCTCTAACAGACTCCAGGATTTAAACAGGGGGCTTGCTGAGTTCGTCCACCAGAAGTTATTGAAGACTGAGCACCTGGGCAGCGGCTCTACCACAGAACCACGTAGTGGGTTGGGCCTGGCTCTTCCCCTCTTCTCTCTTGCCATTGTCTCCGTTCTGTATCAGTGCCCCCTGAGCCTCCACACCTTTGACTGCACTGGCAGACCAAAGGCAACAGGACAGGTTGTCGTGGCAAGTCCCAGAATGCCATGGTACTATTCCTGTAACCGGCCACTTTGTCTCTTTCTAGGCTCAGCCTCCAGATGCATCGAAGGGTCGTCCGCGGAAGACCTGCAGCCTTTGCCTCCTGGGGTCCAGCGGAACTCTCTGCCCAGCGGCCTCATGCAGCCCGACGTCTCGTCAATGGGGCGAAGAGATTGCATCCCTGATGGAGGAGACACCCGCATAGTGGGTGGCAGCCCTGCGACCTTTGGGGGACAGGCAGGGGGGTCTTCTACAACTGGCCCCAGTTCACCAGGGGCGAGCCCCTTCCAATCTGGCAAGCCAAGCCGGCCTGGGCTGTTGGGGTCTATATTTGGAGGGACGCTCCCTCCTCCGTTATGGGCACCAAATGTGAAACCTGGCATGCCAGGTTATGGGGCTGGCGTTGGGTCATATGGCTATGGCTCTGGATATAACAGCCAGGGTTTCCCCCGCCCAGTGTGGAAGAGACCTGGGTTCCCTTACATACCGACTGCTGAGGAGCGGGGTGGAGGCTACATCCCAATACGAAACGAGCCACCTAGGCTGTATCCGTACGGCGGCGGTGGAGCAGCAGCAGCAGGGGGATCGACTTACAGTGGCGGGTCTGTAGCATACGGGCCGAGGGGCACATATGACGGCAGCTACGGGCCCGTCCCTGCAAGTGTGCAGCCAGGTGGACAGCGAGACAGTGGGGACAAAGGAAACCCTTGCACTCAAAACTGTTAGGGCGAAAGGCTGGTCCACATCCTGGGAACTTGAGGCAGGGTGGGTGGAATGTCAGCTCAACTCTTCTGAGAGGAGTATGTGTTCTTAGGCTGTGTTTCCCCCAAAAATTTTAGGACCCCTACCCTTAAAAAATAAAATAAAACACATTCAAAAGACACGGTTATGAGTCCTCCTGACCAAGGAGTTTTCAGAACTTTTGCCTAACAAATATGCTCCAAACCGCCATAGAACTACAAGAGTTTTCTGGAAGAATCAGAGATGGAAGGGACCCCAAGGGTCAACTAGCCCAAGGCAGGAATCTCAACCAAAGCATCCATGGCAGATGGCCATAGCCTCTGCTTAAAAACCTCCAAGGAAGGAGAGTCCATCTCCTCTCAAGGGAGTCTGTTCCACTGTCAAACAGCTCTTACTGTCAGAAAGCTCTTCCTGACGTTTGGTCGGAATCTCCTTTCTTGTAAACTTGAATCCATCGGTTTGGGTCTTACCCTCCAGAGCAGGAGAAATAAGCTTGCTCCATCGTCCATGGGACAACCCTTCAGATGATTTGAAGATGGCTATCATATCTCCTCTCAGTCTCCTCTTTTCTAGGCTAAACATACCCAGCTCCCTCAACCGTTCCTCATAAGGCTTGGTTCCCAGACCCTTGATCATCTTGGTTGCCCTCCCATGGCCATCCAGTTTTAAATTTGTAGGGTAGCTGTTTCCCAATCAATGCCCCCTTGCTTCTTCCATTAGGAAACCCTCCCTTCTCAACCCCCCTTGGTAGCCCAGATCCCAACTCAAAATCACTTGTTCTCAGCTTGCTGGTGTCACAGGTCTGTCCCACTCCATGTCAGAAACAGTGGCTTAGTAGGTTAAAGTATGTCATATGGATCGACTTGTCCAGTCAGGCGCCAAAATCCTTTGCTCAAGCAATAGTTGCTAGCTCGTCGCTTGATTAAGAACCAGTTTACATGATCCAGTAGGGCAGGCTGTGTCTGTGCCAACATAAGTGAAGCCGACGGCCATCTTGGACCAGGCCTGCATAGCGTAGTGCAGCCCTGAGGGGAGTTAAACCTGCTTGAGATGGCAAAATCAAAGGGGCTGTTTGTATCAAAATTGTTTTATAGTTGCTTGTGATGTCAGCCTGATTGTTTTGTGCATCTCTCTCTCTTTTTGAAGCAGAATGTATTAAAGAACTTCTGCCACCTCTTGTCACCTGCTTTTGTTATGTACCATTATGTCACTTGGAAGCAAAGCCTTTTTTTTGTATTCTCGTCGGGCCAAAATGCTTGTATTAAAATCCTATGTACTGTAATGCCATCTAATGGTCTTCTTTTGGAACAGATCCTGGGCCTCTGAGCAAATCCCCCTCTGGGGCCATCTTGCTAGTTTGGGGAGAGGGGTAGAAAAGAATGGGAACGAAACTGCAATGTTGGAAAGGAGTCTAACAGCATCCAGCAGATCTGGAGTTTTGAACTAAGTCGCCTTCCCAATCTGAGGTGGAAATCACTAACACAAATCAGAGCTTTCCCCCTTCATTTCTAATATTGTGGTGCAACAGACATCTATAGGAAACGGCACAGAGAAGGGAGGCCATAAAGCTATGCTGAAAGAAGAACTCTCGAAAGTCTCCCGGCTTTTCTCCGGACTGCCCCATCCCTGCCCAAATTTAAGTGTTCATATGTACCATTTCCCTGGGAAGTCGCAGTGAAGCTACGAACAGAATTGACTACAGCGGCCTGGGTGGGCATGCCGCCTCATCTGTTTCCGGCTAATGAAAGGAACCTTAATTGCTACGGCCTGTTTGGAGGCTTCCATGTTCAGGACACAACCATCCTTCACCCGCTTTGATTTACTGCACCGAGGAACTGTTAAAAGTCAGTAGCCTGACCGCAGTAAATAAAAGGCTAAGAGAGGATCATATAATCAACAGCTATTAACCAATACTGTTAGGAAATGTCAGCTGAAGCTCAGAGCGTTTCCTAACCTCAGACTGCTGGAAGGTGGAAGCGAACAGCAGCAAATTATTTACCCCATTATTTCTGGTTTCTGATGGAAGACAGGTTACTGGATAGACCTGCTTTTGTTGACTCGCTGCCTGCCCAAATCCCAGCAACTGATGCCTCAAAGCATCCTTCCTCACTACATTAAGAATTATGACAATTATGATATTTCACTTGCTCCATAAGGAAATGCTGTTACACATTGGAAAGCAGAGAGAGAGAGACAGAGACTGGGTGGCGAAGAACACCTGCACGCTTAACTTTGCATTAGATTGTAGAGTTGCAAATGGTACCTGTTAGGTCAGAGGAGTGCTAGCACCCTGCTCACAAAGCTCCCATGTGGGTCTTAGAGTCCAGCTGTTTGTGTGTAAGGTGCCCTTTTAAAAACCAAAACAAATCCCCAAAGCTGCTCTCCCTTCATTTTGCAGAGAAGATAAGTGACGTAAAACCGGACTGAAAACAGAACCCCAAATTTTACTGCGATGCCGCTATAGCCCTGCTATCTGGCCGCACTGAATGGTCTGAGGGACAAACGACACTGTTGCGTTATGAAATCTAAGCCTGCTCCAGGCTGGATAGAAGGACCCAGGTGAGGAAGCCATTTCGTAGTTCTCAGATTAAACGAGAGATAAGCAAAGCATCATGCCTTCCTTTGTTAGGACCTTCCAGGACAGCTTATGGAGGTCTGTGGGCTCCCCAAAAAGAACTGGAAGCTCTCAATCGGCAGTGAGGCCTAACCCTTTCCCCCTCAGGTTGCAATCCAATATAATCAGGATCAATGGAGCCATTCTTCTGGAGGCTAATAGTAGATCAGAGGTGGGGGGTTTAATCAGGATTGCAGGGTAAGAGGAAAGGGTTAACCTCATCCTCATTCTGCTTAGTACGTACTGCAATCTCAATCCTGTTCATTGCCCCTCCTCGTCCCAATGGGGGAAAGTTACGTTTCTAGAATGGTACACCCCAATTGCGTTCATGTTGTTTGTTTTGAAAACACGGGACTCAGCTTTTCTGTATAAACACACAGAGAGAAAGAGCAGTGTCAATATGCCTACATTTGGGCATCTGCCAACCTAGCAGTTCGAAAGCATGTCAAAGTGCAAGTAGATAAATAGGTACCACTCCGGCGGGAAGGTAAACGGCATTTCCGTGTGCTTCTCTGGTTCATCAGAAGCGGCTTAGTTATGCTGGCCACATGACCCGGAAGCTGCACGCCGGCTCCCTCGGCCAGTAAAGCGAGATGAGCACCGCAACCCAGAGTCTGTCACAACTTTACCTAATGGTCAGGGGTCCCTTTACCTTTACTAGAACAAAAGACAAATGTAAGTGAGTTAAACAATGTGCACCTGAGGGAATTGGTTAGAAAGAACCCTGACCCCTTCTGGACTCACAGCCAGCCTTTGACAGGGTTGAAAGCCTCTGCACAAATCTGACCTGTAGCGCCCCCTCCCCCCCCCGCCCAGAGTCCTCTGCAAATTATTTTGGTCGACGCTGGTAACACAAATTATAAACAGAACTTGCACAGAAGTACAGGAATCATTTGAACTATTTAATTAGCGCGTCAGAAGTTGTGTATCCGGGGCAGTAGATTCTCAAGGTCCATACAGGTTGATAAAGGAACGAGGATACAGATTGCTTTTATTTCAGAATAGGAGCTATGGTCCGGTCCAGTCCTGTCTCTCCAGCGGAACGGTTATGGTAAGGATCACTCACTGGTTCTTCAAGCTAGCAGCCGCCCCTTGCCCTGCAGCTGGGACTGGAGTTGCTTTCTTTTGCCCTGAGACAGGAGTTTGTCCTTTTCCATTCCTTGCTTGCTGCCCTAAGGAAGTGAGGGGTGGGGTTTTATGAGACACAATGCTATGCTGCGACGAGTCAGTTAAGATTCCACGCTTAGCAACACAGGAATCTATTTGTCCACCTTGTGTTGCTTACTCTGGCAATGGCTCTCCACACCACCTGTGGAGTCCTGATCCTTTAACTGGGGATGCCAGAGGCTGAAGCTCGTATCTCCTGCATGCAAAAGTCATGCTTTATTGTTAAGCTATGTTCCCTCTCCTATTTTGGGTACAGATGGTACTTCCTGGTTCATCTCTAGAACAAATACAGAAAGAGATTTTGCACAAGGGAGGAATTTGACACCGAGCATCTCAGTGTCATTACGAATCTCAGCTGTTGCTTATGGATCTGCTCTCCAAGAGAATGAGGGTAAAGATACCGTATTTTTCCGTGTATAAGACTATGCTTTTTGCTAAAAAAAAAAGGCAAAAATTGGGTGTCGTCTTACACATGGATAGTGAAATGAGAGGGGAGACATGTGATTAATGGCGGCAGCAAGCAGGAGATTGGCAGTGGCGACTGGGCGGGTGATTGGTGGCAGCGGCAAGGCCTGCCGGTGATTAGTTGCGGCAGGCAACTGGCGGATGCAGCGAAGTGTGCGATCGGCAGTGGCTGTCGCAAGCAATTGGCAGTGGTGGGAAGGCGGGTGAGGAATTGGTGGAAGTGACGCCCCCCAAAAGCTAAATAACTAAATTTCTTAATTTTGGGTTAAAAAAAATAGGCGCCATCTTATACATGGAAAAATACGATAGTTTGGACAGCATATGGGGAAGACCACTGAAATCTCAGAAGATAGAGAACGGAGCAAACTAGAGACTTCAAGGGTTCAGAGGCGGGGTTCAAGGCAGTTTGAATAGTTTCCTGCATCCTCTGGCCAGCAAGCAAAATTTTATTATGCAAAACGTGCAAATATATGTTCATATATGCTCCTATTTCATTTT